AACAAATTCAGCTGTTAGTTGTGTGCGGTTTACGCGTGTGCGATTAAAAGCCTTGGCAAGAAAACCACTCACTGCACAGCTAGATCATTTTCATAGAACGTCCGTTCGACGAAAATTGTTCACTTCTCTTTATCCGAAGCTTACGATGATCCCCGCTTCCCATACAGAGCGACTGCTGAGGAGGTTGTGACTTTTGACTCTTCTGTTATACAAAAATAAGAGGATGCCTGGAGAAGTACCTGTGTGAAACTATCATTAGCGGTGATTTCTCGTGTTTGCCACATTTCGCTAAACTGCACCCGTATTTCGGCAAAAGTCTCTGTTATCACAGCAATGAATACATTCTAAAACAACGAGCAAGAAAAGATACGTAGCAAATAACAATAGCTTTCTATGTTTTTCTTTGAAGAAGGTCACGTAAACGAAGAAATTCTTGAGCTCCTAGTGAATGAGGGAAAGCTCACCTTAACCAGCCAAGCAAGTAGAAATATCAGAGTGACAAAATAGAAAAAAGCGATATAGGATGGAAATGTATCCAAGCAGTCATATAGTACGTATACCCACCCTTCTTGAGATGCTGCCATATAGACTGTGAATAAGCTGGATCCTAAACTGATAGCAGTATCATGCGGGCTAGCAAGAAAGTCGAAAAAGAAGAAAACAGGAAAGCTAATCCTCAACCTCACAGTGCTTAACTTAGTTAGTCCTTAACCATAAGGACCTGTCTCTTATGGCAATGTGCTGAAGACATCTTTATGAATTTGAGCAAAAATGATTTAAGTTAAAAATCAAGAGCACCCATATTTTACTCTAAATGAGGGGCAGAGGCTTTGTAGGTAGCGCGAGCAGCAACAGTATGTCTGTCGAAAGTTTTCAGTTTTTTTTCAAAATTGTTGAGAATCATCCATATCAAAAATTTGGAATTTTTTCCTTCTTGTTGGGAGTTACCAGCTGTAGTTACCTCCCGCAATACGCGCCGAATTATCGATGGTTTCGAATGACGGGCTGGAAGGACCAAAGAATGGAAGCTATTTATAAAAAGAAATCCACAATGCACAAGAAGAAAATGAAAAAGTAGTTAAAAGTATGAGAAAACACGAAAAAAAATCACGCTAAGAACTTCAAATCGTGGGAAAGATTGGTACTCAGACATGACGCTTGGAAATTTCTAAAATGTTTTCGGACAGTTTTTCTTTATCCTTTTCGTGGAACAGAAAAAATTTGAAAACTAATCTTGCATTTCGAGCTTAACGTTTTTGTCCATAGACTTCCACTGTATGTTTAGAAACAGCTGAGGATTAGAGATCATACCGAAATCGTTGAACATTCCATAGAAACCTTCCGCATGAGCGCTCATATCCAACTTGACACATTCCATATTGGCCGGACACTCATAGCCGCCTGCACCTTTTTGCGAGCACATGGTATCAGGTATGGCTAGATCTGCTATGGTCACATTGGACACGTTGGTACCAGGCAAAACGCAATGATAATCCATTCGGCCGAACAGCTGCACACCCATGATCGCGTAAAATGCCATAAAGAACATGAAGAATATTGTTACATTCTGGATTTGTTGCGAAGACCGCCTAGAACCCCAAGTATCTTACTATTCGAAATACTGCAACAGTTCTACAAATGAAAAAAAAAAAA